AAGACATGGACTGTGCTCTTGAGGATTTCGCAATACTTTTGCTAGTCCAATCATTTTGTCAAAAAAAAGTAACATGTTCGTAACCATAGTATAGGGCCTTCGTGAGATGACAGCTGAATAGTCTATCACCGTGATCTGCAGCTCTCTTCAAAGGGTCTTGAAACTTCATAGACCAGTGACAGAACCACGGCCTGGGAAGACGTATGCGTAAGCGCTGGTGAACGGAGGAGGGGTGTAGGGAGTGGTACATAGCTCATCCCTAACTATGCCCATAAACACTCCTGCTTCTTCTTGAATCCAGACGATATAACTCTTATGGTTAGCAAACAACAGTCTATCATTAGTACCTTTCAAAATTCCGTCCAAGCGATTGTGCAATGGCTTTTGCTATACTTGGTCTTTCCAATACCTGGTGGACCCGCAAAGCACAGTATTGGTCCGGTAACCTGAAAGCGGTCATGTTCTCAAGGGAGGGGATCGAAGCCAATTTAATGAACAGACATACCGAATCGCTGAGTTTTCTAACAGCTAGGAACTCGAGTACTCTTTTCTTCACGTCTTCCATTCCGCTGTGGGAAGCGTCGAGTAGCTCCCTGGCCTGAAGAGAGAACATTTGAAGAACTTAGAGTGGTTGGATACAGAAGTGTGCCCATGGTGTCTAGACCAAGACTGAAAGAAGCAAAGGAAGTGGCAATCATTGCCGATTCCCTGAGGAACTTTTGCGGAGTCTCCATCTCTCCAGGGTCGACTGTTTACATCAGCTTCCTCTGGAAGGATGAAAACGCTGGTTTGTGAAACTAATTGCAAGTTCTGTCTTCTCGAGATCTGGGCATTTGTGAAATACTTTTTGTGTATAGTGTTAGGCCGGTTAAGCTTGTTATTGATGAAAACCCTCTACTGGCCAACGTTACGCAGATCGTCTTCTTCAGAACCTGGAACTGCCTCGAACTCGCTACTAGTAGCTTACATGGTTGAGAGCCATACTCGCGCCGCGCGAAAGCGACGGTGGCAACGGCGGCGCCTTTATTACTAATTCTTCACTCCATTGGGCCAACCCACCCCACATGTGTCCCCACCCCACCCTTTAGACGACCAGATATATAGGCAAAAAGAAAAAAGAATTCACGAAAGAAAATAAGGCAGGAGATATCGTGACCGCGAAATCAAGCTGTGGATTAGTGTTCAGGCGAGTGTATCAACCACACTGTCTGGTGACCTTGCTCGATCACATTCTTTGCTCGCCCTCTGTTCATAGAAGTACGCTGGCTAGGGTTTTATTCGGAGCATTACGACGATTTTTTCCCTACACCATTGACTTTCCTGGCGTCTTGATATCTATTCGAACCCCACTATACAGAATATCTGATCGCGGGTTTTGCCTTTAATATGCACCCAAATATTACCATAACTATGGGCCAAAAGAGTGGTGCATCCAAAGCAGCGTGAAATTCAGCGATATGTTTGCTCACCTTTTTGATGTCTATACTCTCAGGAGTACTTTTACTCCATGGCAAACTGGCCACCAAATCTAGGTATGAGGTGAGCACGTGCTGCTCGGAACTATTCGGTCCCATAGCTTTCAAACGGTCAAAGTCCGCCCATACACGTTCCTGAACTTGCATAGTGTAGAAACGACGTCAAAATAGGCATCATTAAAAGTACCTTGACATTGTCGGGTAAGCCTGCGTTCTGAAGTTTTGTCTCTAACTCTTCCAGTCCGTTTTTCGGGGATCTTCGGGTTCTAGAACGACTTCGCGGGAGATATGGTTGCTGGATTTGGATATCCGGAGTCCTTACATTAGTGACGGCCTGAAATGAGTGGCGCCACCCTAATACTCCAACAATTCATTGTGCAATTATCTTGAGGAGAAACTCTGAACGGGGCACGTCTATCAATATGCGGCCACCATATGTGACACCTGAGTGAGCGGTCGCGATCCGGCTTGGATGAATAATCTGGCTTCGAGAAATGCTGCAAAGTTACTGAGTAGCCCGAATCGGCAGATTCCAGTCCATTCATTCGCCCGAATTTTCAAACGAAATGTGATTCTGACCAGAACCCACAGCAGCCACCGCGACGCGAGCGCTCGCTCAATTGCAACACACGACTCCAAACCTTTATTCTTAAAACGGATGTTCTGACCTTGAGATGGTCCTTCAACCACTCATTAGCGAGTTCAACTCTCTTGGGGATCTCCAAAGTCGCTAGGTAGTCTAGAAGAGATGCGTATGAGATGTCACTCATAAGAGAAACGCTGAAAAAACGGGTTTAGGGACAAGAAGATAATGAGTACATAGCAAAAACTAAAAAAATCAAAGCAGTACATGAGAAAAATTGAATAAATGAATAAATACGTAAATCGCCAAGTGAGTTAATAAGATTACTTGCCAGAAATCCGCCAAATCTTCTAGTCTGTCCTCGTTCAAGAATTTTTTCAATGTAAAGGACTCCTCCACACGATCAAAGGAAAGCGAAAACGCGAATTCTTTGACTCGAACCCGGAACTCCTTTCTGAGGTCGGATGGTGTATCTCCTAAAATGAAGCATCTCTACAATACCACAAGATTATTTAGCCTTCATTCGCTTCAGAGGAAGCCAGCCTGCCCACCTTCGATGGCATAGAGCTGCTGAACTGTACTGACAGGAATGGCAAATTTTTCGATTTTTGCCCTCGACACGCCAACCAAATGGATGGTATACTGTACAAAATTGTTATAACTCCAGCACACCACTTGCTCGACCATCGCCACTGTACCTGTCTCGAACACTCTCTGAAAAATCTCTCCTTTTTCGGTAATCACCTTTTAGGCAGGCATTCACATCAACGAGGTAAGGCATAAGGCAATCCGTCCCTTGGAAAAAAATTGATCGCTTCTAGGGAGGGAGGGAGCGCAGGGGTCAGTTTTGAAGAATAATCAAATGAGAGATCATAGACGCCAAGTCCGGCCCTCGATGAATCCCGGCGTTGGAATAGTTGAATAATTAGATATTAGAGTTCTTGGACCTTCACTCAAGACTTTTTTCATCCTTTCTTTCTTTGCGATAGCGCATTCCCAGCTCTCCTCTTTCATATATGCGTCTTTGCCTCACTTCCTCCTGGACCCTCGTCGTTCTTGCAACCCCTCCCCTTAATGTTCTCAGGTATACATCATGTATTGGTATGAGTGAAGCGGAGGTGGTGTAGTGACAAGTGGCGCGCTTACCACTCGCGCGGTATTGAGTTGAAATCGCTGGTCGCTCCTCCACAGGCCTTCTACCCTCCGGGGACGGTAAATTGGTACCAGATTCGTCTGGGAGGATAAGAACACTGACTTGTACATCGGCTGGCCCCCGCAAGTCATTGTATAGGCCACATCGCATTCAATAAGCCACTACGATTCTGAATGGAAGTAGAATGCGTGCCGCATCCCACAGAGGGATTGGTCAACGTTGAAGAGCTTATCCTTTTTATTGCCATGAGTGGAGTGCTTATCGTTGATGACGCATCACCGATCCCAATCTTGTGAGTACAGGAAGTGTTTTCACAGGAAGGAAGAAATGAATGTAGAGAGATAATGTAGAGAGATACCTTTTCTTTTTCTATCCGATACGCGACCAACACTAGCGATTTTCCTGGCGCACCTCTGTTCACCACAAAGCGATCCAGTGTCGCCAGACTGAAATTAGGATTATGAAAAAAGGGTAGCCTGCATTGGACTACAAGAAAATTAGTGGAAGTGCTACCGACTAATCAAAGGAACAAAAAGAGGACAATTTTTATGAAGACAAAGCTCACTTTGTTCGGCTTTTTATGGGCACTTTCAACTTAGCATTCGGTAAAAGTACCCCATTCGTGAGTAGCAGAACGGGTAGCTCCATAATGAGGCCCTGTAACATTTATTGTTTCCAAAAGCACTCAAAGAAGAGAAAGTTCACAAATTCTTCCAAACGAAAACAGGAGGAAGACAAGAGATATTGGTGACCTCCAAGCATACTTCAATGAGTAGTGCTTCAGAGACACACTCCGGGCTGGTCGCATGGGCGGAGCCGGCCTACAAAGAGTGCATTCTTCATTGGTGTGCCCGTCTCTCGCACTAATGAAGAGGTACAGAAGTAAGGCACTGCTACGCCTACGGTCACGGTGGAATGTACCTTCAATGAGATAAGCTCACTTGATTCTTTCATTTTATTGAGTTTCTTTTTTCAGTAACAAATGAATCGCGAATAATTGAGATAGCGTAGGTAAT